TGGGGAGGAGCCTGCAACCAAGGTACTTGCCCTTGACTGGAATTAAACCTGGAGCCCTTTGGCCCAAAAGCCAATGCTCTATCCACTGAGCCAAACTGGCTAGGGCCCACTTTCCATTTTGCATCCTTAAGTGGCATATACCTCAGTCTTAATTCACCAGAAAAGTCAAATTAACCAAATGGCTTCAAACACTTGCTGTTTTGTATAGATTTGACTGCACAATAGAGTGGAAAGCACTAGCCATGAGTTAGAAGAACTTAAGTTCTAGGTCTTAAGATATTGGAAAAGCCATTTTATCTCATCTTAGTCTCAGTGCCCTTATCTATAAAACAAATTAGGTTAGGAGAATGCTCAATTTCCTTTCTCTGTTGACTATACCATGGAAACTATGGCTCAAATACACCCTACTTATTGCAACCCTTTCAGAGCTCAACTCTTTAATAATAAATGCTTACCTTTTCAAACATGGGTTTGCTATAATTTTTGCTGAGATCTTCCCAAGTGCCCAGCGTATGTGTATTAGGGCCTTGGCATTCACACAGCATGATGTCATTCGGTCTTGCCTTACTTGTCCTGACCCTTCTGACAATTCCTAACAAAGTGTGTGCTCATTATGTTACCCGTGCATTATGTCCTTTCATATCATTAGTGACATTAAATTGGGTTGGCAGCTCTGTTTGGAGAGACACTTGCGCCCTGAGCCAAGCAACACAGATAGCCAAGAATTAGATCATTCTATCCCCAAGTTGCCACAGACCTTCTCAGATACAGCTGAGCAATGTAACTTGATCAAGGTTAAGTACAACCCACCCTTCATCTTTTAACCCAAGTCAAAATTCTTTTAGCTTTCTGTTCAAATCCCAGAGTAATGCTTCCTGCTCATTGTTACAAGCTGCCCTCCAGTCAACTCTCATTTATAGGCCTGTGGCTTATCCAAAGCACCAGGCTTTCTTCTCCTGCACTAGGTTCCAGGCCGGCTCCTTTAACTCTGTGCCAAATGAATACAAACTAAATCTAATATTAGCCTAATGAGAAAAGGCCATCTGCTGCCAAAGATTTGCATGATGCATCCCGAAGCCAAACGCGGGCCATTATTCACTGTTTCAGATGCTGGCATGGCTTCTCCATTATATAATACAGCAATCACGATTTTCCGTGTTTCTCTTCGAGTTAGAAAGGCGACACACAGCGTTCTAACCTGTTCTTTGCCTAGTAGGCCAGATTCTCAGGAGAACAGCTTACGTCTTCTTTTCAAGTAAATAAATCATTTGTGCAGATAATGTTAAGGGAATAGAAGTGCCTGGATTTGGAGTCATGAGACTTAGATTCTGATCTGAAATTCATCTTTCTCTAGTTGTAAGTGAGAAACTAAGCAAGGCATTTAAATTCCTTATTTTCTCAGCAATAAAACTGGAATACAAATTTTATAAACAAAAGGTATGGGGCAGTCACACATATACAAGGGACATGTAAAAGCCACCCTCAAAAAGCCAGGGAGACTTTTGACTGTCACTCTAACTCACCACTTTGCCAGGCTCTGGCAAAATGCTTGCATGGAAAAAAAATGTGCAACCTTATGAAATTTGTATTTTACAGATAAAAATATAGAAAGGGTAAGTTTCCTTGTGATAATAAAAAAAAATCAAATCCAGAAGTCTAGATTTTCTAACTTCCCAAGACTGTCTGTAGGCCACGTATCAGGACAGATCTCAGCATTCCAAGGTGGGGAACCACCAGGGTACTTCCTGCTGATAGACTGATATTCACTCCACTGCCACCTTCCAAGTTCTCCAGAAACTCAAATTCCACCACTTTCCTTTTTCCATCTTATTCCTGTACCAGAGACCATCAATGGCTTCCCGCAGATCAGAAAGGTGCTGTCCAGAACTTTCTGTGATGTTCCCTGTCTATGCTATCCAAAACAGTAGCCCCTAGACACATGTGGCAACTGACCACTTGAAATTTGGCTAGGATGAATAAGGAAAACCGTTTTTTCATTTTATTCTATTTTAATACAATTAAATAGCCACTTGTGGCTAGTGGCTACCATTGGACAATGCCCTGTTTTGGTAGAAAATAAATCCATGTTCCTCATTCTAGCATTCACATCCCATACAACTTGGCTCCAACATACTGTCCCATCCTGTTTCTACAAAAGGAACCTTAGCTGCTGAGCACAACTGTGGGTGTCTGCTGCCACACCCCAGCTCAAGGTACTTTGACTTCATTGCTAAGGGTGCCTTCCGTTCTTGTTGCTGTGTATTTGAATTGGATCCATATTTCACAACAAAGGTCAAGTTCTACCTCTATTGTAAGCCCCATCCCTGCTTCTTCTGTGAGGAGAGGGTTCATTAACCTCAGACCTGGACCTATCCAAGAAGTTGCCTCAGTCTGTCACAGGGCTATGTCTTTGGAACTACTTCTGGGAGCTGTGAGTTGCCTTCATAACTGGAAAGATAAATAGAGATTGATGAGAAACAGAGGCTGTGTCTTCTCTGTGTCAAGGAGACCCATTCCTACTTTGGCTCTCATCTGGGGTAGTTGTACATGTCCCTAGGTGGATGAAGGGGTGGGGGGAAGCTGTACCTTCATAACTTCTGTGCCTCCCAATTAGATGAACCTGCTATATCTCCTATCTCTCTTGCTTTGTACCCACCTGGAAAGCTAACACAGTTTTGCATTATAGAACTTGTGGAATGGTGTACACGCTCTCTGGATTCCCAAATGCTCATAAGCATTTAGGACTTATACTGGTAAATAATCTTTGCATATCAGCATTTCAATTGGATCCATTTTCCCCCCAACTAGATTGAAAGGCTTAACAGTGAGCTTGGTTCTCCATTGCTTTGCCTTTGGTCTATGAGAGCTGAAGGCAGCTGGCAGCACAACCTCCTTCCAGAATTAGGATTCTAGCCTTTTGAGGAACTGGGGCCAAAGCCACGTTCTAAGAAAGACAAAAAGGGTGGTTCTTGCCAGAATGGAAATACAAGGTGGGGCAAAAGAAGGTTTACAGCTCTAAGTACACAAAACACTGAGTTTATTCTTTTATTTTTACTTATTAATTATTGTATTATTTTCCATATGAAAAACTGTAAACCTATTTTTGTTCACCCTGTAGATATAGAGGGGTATATTCTTAAGTGTTGAAAGTAATACAAGTTTCAGGATCAAGATGCTAGGTTAAGCTCAAGCTACAAACCCACCCTGAGGCTCTTGAAACTTAAAGATACTAAAAACAATAATTTTTAATGTACGTAATGCCACGCTTAAAATCAAGGAAGAGAACTCTCTAGAAACCAGGAAAGCACAGCAGTGGGAAGGCACAAAGTTCACTCTGCTGGTTGGAACAGTAGACATGCTAAGGGGCTCATTGGTTTCAAAGCCCAACTCAGAGTCAGAGCCCACAGGCATGGTAGGGAGTGGGAACCAAGTTCCCAGCGTGAAGCAAATGGGAAAGTGCAAAGGAGGGAACCTGATTTGCATAGTCAGTCAGTAGCCAAGAGACAGAATGTCAAACTGAATCATAATGTAACACCTGGTCAAAGATGTTCCAGCCCAAAAGATTCAGGAAGAGACATGCGTAAAACACCTCATCAGTGCTTGCTTCAGCAACACAAATACCAAAAGACACCTAATCAAGTGGCTTTCACCACCATTCAAAGTCCCCAAGATAACTCTCTCTCTTGGCCAATAACGTACCAGCAAGAATGTGAAGCCATGGGAGGAAATACAGCACCGAAAAAGGCAGAATATGGCCCCCCAAACAGGAAAAGCCACAGGTGAGCTACTAAAGTTAATAGAGCAACCTGTAAAAGGCTTAAAATAAATACCATTTTTAAAAGAATGCATATTTAAGGGGAGGGGGACCTCAAAGAAAATGTTTTCTCCATAATCTCAACTCTAGATATAAACTGCTGCTCAAATTGTGGAGTGCACACTTCCTGACTCAGTGATGCCCTTATGCAATGAAAGGCATTTTTACATCAACAGGAACATGCTATATGTGTGGAACATGCTATATGTGCTGTGCAGTAACCTGCCCTTCTTGTCCCCTCCCCACTTTAAATATTACCACACTCATGCTCCCACATAAAGATGGCTATAGACTGAATGTCTACATTCTCCTAAATTCCATGTTGAAACCTAACTGCCAATGTGATGGTATTAGGAGGTGGGGCCTTTGGTAGGTGCTTAGATAACAAGGATGGGGCTCCCATGAATGGGATTTGAGCCTTTATAAAAGAGACCCCAGGCAGCTCCATGTCCCTTTCTACCATGTGAGGACACAATAAGATGAAAGCTATCTATTAACCAGGAAGTGGGCCCTCACCAGATATGGAAACAGGTGGCACCTTAATTTTAAACTTTCCAGCTCCCAAAACTGTGAGAAATAAATTTTAATTGTTTACAAGCAATCCAGTCTAAGTGTTTTGTTACAGAAGTACAAATGGACTAAGATAAACCCACATAGGTCTTCCTCACCTCTATCAACTAATTATTTTCCAATGTCAGTTATTATTAACAGTGCTTGTCAGCAAAAATCCCTCAATACTCAGGCAGCCAGCTGGGCCTTTTACAAAATACTTCCAGACGCACTGTATTATTTCATCTGAACTGGATGAGGGAGGCAGCCTTGATGGTACACTCTCTATAAAGACTCTGAGGCTTGGAAAGTCACAGGACTTGCCCAACATCATAAAATGATAAATCTGAGCCTGGCAAACAAATCTTTAAGTCCAAGGCGGTCTTCACTATAGCCCATTCTCTACTGTACTCACAATCTCATGCTATGAGATTGACCACAAATGGGTTTTGATTTCACCCCAATGGGGAGGCAGTCAATATTTTCATTTATGATTACTATAATCCAGAAGCAGTATTCATTAAACTGAAGGGACAACAGTGATTAGTGAGAGCACCACCAGTCCTTCTCTGTGGCTTGACCACAGAGCAGCAATGCTGCAGTTTCGGTCTCCTTAATGTATCGGGTTATAGCTTACCTTAGCCGTCTCAGCTTCTGCCTGCAGTCGCTTAGGGGATCCTTTTTGGTCAAGCACCTTCTGGAAATGTTTGTTTTTAATCGGTTGAGACTCAACACTTTCACCTTCAATTTGCAGCTTAATGCCTTCAGCATGAGCAGGATGATCAATCCCCCGTGGATTCAAACCGCAGTGGAGAGCTAGGTGAGAGGAAAAAATATAACTCAGAAAACAAATCATGTGAAGAAGATGTCCAGGGCAGACAATATTTCATCTGGCCTAAGTGGAAAGAGACAAGGCTTCGGCGAGTTGAGCGGTGGTCTGGCAACTGTGGGAAGGAATTTGGTGAGGAAGGAATGTTGTTGGGTGGGAAACCCTAAAGTCAGACAAAAGTGCAAATCCAGAAAACATCAGTTCCAAGTTGTTGGACCTTCAGCAAGTTACTGATCGTCACAATGCACACCAGAATACCAAATCAGGCAACTTTGTTAGTGAATCCCACACATTTAATTATTTCAACCCTTGCAGGTTAGCCAATAGCTCTTCCTCTATCTGAAAAAGTGCTCATTCTGCCCCCTTCTGAATCCTCTCTGTTTTTCAAGCATCCACTCAAGCCCACCACCCTCATGCATCATTCAACAAATATTTATTAATAGTAGTTACTATATGTCATCCCATGATACTAAAAACATGAATGCAGGATATATGATGGATGTTATCTGCAAAGAACTCACAATCTAAGTGAAAAAGCAGATGAAAGACAATGACCTAGTGATTTAAAAACCCAACACACTTACCAACCAGATCTGAAATATCATGGCTGACATATACACATAAGGAACTGTTTGTCATTGAAACTGGGACTCAAAAGAACTGTTGGCCCAGAAAGGAACTCACTACAGACTGATTAATTTGCCTCTCAGCATAGTTACTTATGGCTTGTCTCAGTTTCGGTTCTTACAAGGATATTTCTTGGATTATATGATCTCACACTTCTAGAGGAAATAATGAACAACATAAACTGACAAACAAAAACAGACCCAGAGAAAGAGAAGCAGTGATCAGACTCTCAAATCTCAGAGGGAAAGTAGGGGAGGGGAGGGGTAAGGGGGAGAGATCAACCAAAGGACTTGTGTGCATGCATATGGGCCTAGCCAGTGGCCATGGACAACAGGGAGGTGGGGGTGTATGTGGGAAGGGGTTTGGGATGGGAATGGGGGGATAAGGACAATTATGTGATACCATAATCAATAAAATTTAATAAATAAATAAAAATAAAAACCTGACACGCTATTTTAAAAGACTATATGCATCCCTATGTTTATTATAGCATTATTTGCAATAACCAAGATTTGGAAGCAGCCCAAGTATCCATCCATAGATGAATGGATAAAAAAGCTGTGGTTCATTTACACAATAGAATACTACTCAGCTGTAAAAAAGAAGGAAATCTTATCTTTTTCGACACCATACATGGGCCTGGAGAGTATTATGCAAAGTGAAAATGGCCAGTCAGAGAAAGACAAGTATCACATGATCTCTCTTATAAGTGGAATCTGATGAACAAAATGACTTAACAAAGTGAAGACAGGCTCATGGATATAGAGAACAGATTGACAGCTATCAAAGGGGAGGGGTTTAGAGGCTGGGTGAGAAGGGTGAAGGGATTAACCAAAGGAAAAAAACACACAAAACAACAAGACTCACAAATATAGACAACAGAATGGTGATTGCCAGAGGGAAAGAGAGTAGCAAAGGGTAAAGAGGGGATAAATGGTGATGGAGGGAGACTTGACATGGGGTGGTAAACACACATATATAATATAGATGATGTATTATAGAATTGTACTATAACCTATACAACTGTACTGAAATCTATACAACTTTATTAACCAATGTAATCTCAATAAATTCAATATAAATAAATAAATAAATAAAACAGAGTGATAACTGCTACATGGAATACAAAAAAAAAAAAAAGCAGAGTAGAAGGTGCAAGGGAGTCAAGTCTAATGTCTTCTGATTTTACGTACCTTTCCACATTCTCTGACATAAATATCCTCACAAATCAAATGTAAAGCCCATTTCCTGGACATACATAGTTAATAAGTTCTTACTGAACATCTTCTACGCACACACTATTATCTAAGAAACAGCAGGAATGTTATAGGAGCCATACATTCTACCTAAATGACCACCGTGCATGACTAGGGTTATGGGGGGGTGTGGGATGTATGTGCACACACATGGCTTATGTGTATTTTAAGGTTTCTAGTAAAAAGTTATCTCAATCTTCCTGTGTTCCCAACCTTCAAAATTAGTTAAATTCCCATCCTATGTCCTTCCCTGGCTGTCACCTTAAATCACCGCCCCTTCCCACCAACTCCATCCCCTTTAGGGTTCTACTTCACTGAAAAATTCCTTTTAGCCAATATCTTCAGTTTTGCCCTTTCTCATCATTATCCCCTTTCAACCAACTTCTGTGACTCTAAAAATTCTTCAGTTACTCAGCTCCCCATCCAGGTCAAGGCTTCCTTTTCCCTTTATCAGGCCTCTAAAGATTTTTTACCTGCGAGGTGAGAGAAGGCTTCCCAGACAAAGTGAGCTAAGGTTCCCACCTTCAACTCCCTCCTTAACACATTCCCTTCAATTTTGATAAAATCAACCTACCAGTGATTTCAACATTCAACGCCAGCCTAGAAAGTCCTCTTATGAGGTTCAGGCATAAGTAAAACTGTCACTGAACTTCCTAATTTCAATGTATCACAGATATCTTAAAATTAATATTTTCAGACCTGAACCTTGATTTTCCTAAGAAAACAATGCGTGTTTTCCAGTTACTCACATAGAAACTCAAGAGTCATTCTTGACCTCACTCTCCCCATGATTCACATCCCTTCCATCTATCAGCAGATCCCGTAAGCACTAACCAAATGCTGCTCAAACCCATCCACTTTTCTAGCCCAACTGCTCTTGCCCACTCGAACCCTGACATCTCATTGAGAAAGTGCATAGGCCAGATCATGAGACTCTCCTGCTTCAATCTTTCAAATGGCTTTCTTTTGTACTTAGAGCATTAGAAATCTTTAACATGGCCAATAAGGCCCTGCATTACCTCTCCTCTTTTTCCCACCAGGTTATTCCTCATTCACTCTGACCACACATTCCTTAAACACACCAAGTTCTTTAACATCTCCTGGATTTTGTCTAAGTTTCTTTGCCTGAAATGATCTTCCTCATTCTTCACCTGACTCCCACTCATCCTTCAGGCTTCGGTTTAAATACCACTTCTTCTAATATGCCTTCCCATAATCCTCTTTCTCAGCCCATCCTTGCCCCCACCCCATGCTAGATCATGTGCCTGGAATAAAAAGAATTTAAACTGATTGTATAATGGTCCATATGCATGTGACTTTATACCACTTAATATGAAGTTATCCATGTATTTCTCTTTTAGTCCTTAATGTGCCTAAAACTAAGGACCAGACTATTATGTGATACATAGTGGGCACTCAACATATATTAGTCTATTGCTCCACCCTTGGGCTTTGTGCTGGATCTCAAATAAACATCAGAAAACACTGTGAGACATAATTGTATTCATTTCTCAGATAAAAATGAGGCTCCAAGACTTTCACAAAAAGTCACACAGGTGTCTGCCTAAGGTTACAACAATCAAGTATCATTTAGGATGCAGATAATTTCAAGTTTCAGATGAACAACCCCAAAATGAATTAAATAATAAGACAATTTATTAGCTTTTGGGACAGAAAGCTCAGAGTTAGCTATTTCACAGTTCAACAGGGTTATTGAGGACTCTGATGTACGTGTTCAAATCTCTCCATTCTTGTCAACCTTCTGCTAAAAGCAATTACCGAAACTTCATGGCTGCTACTCAACAAGGCAGGAACCAAATGGGTGCTAGAGACCCAACCATAATGCCTAATTAAGGCTGTGGTAAAAAGAGGACAAAGCCTACGAGAGCACGTGCTTCTCCAACTGCGAAGAACAGCCTCCTTACACTGAACACTCAATCATGAGCTACAGTTTGCCGACCACTGACCTAAACTAAAATTGTGATTACTACTAAAAAAAGGTGTGCTCATGTGGGAAGATGGGGGATTAATGTGGGATGGATTTACACATTACTGAGGAAAAGAAAAAAATAAACCTTTTACTCTGGCATGATCCCTGACTTCTTCCTGTCTTGGGATTCATGGCTTAGCAATACCACTGAGTTGCTGGCAGCTTCTAGGACCTCCTGTCCTCCCTCTCCGTCACCTCCCCACCAAGTCAGACTCCAATACATCCTCCACCTTTGCTCAAGCTGGTCCTTCCTCCTAGAAAGCGTTCTCCTCCCCCTGAATCCCACTTCCTTCTTTGGGAGGCAGGCTAGCTCCTCCTCAGTCCATGTGTCAGGTCAGACCGCTTCTTCTAGGGTTGCTGGCTCAGAGTGAGAAACCCCAGGCTATGCTCCCTCCATGCACACAATATCCCGGAGCTTGACCTCCTGGCTGTACTGAGGATGTTTACCTAATTGATCCATCTGCCCTGCCCTGCCCACCTTAACTGCAAGCTCCTCCACAGAGGCTCCACGTCTCATTCATCCATGATCACCACCCCTCAGTCCAGAACCTGGCACACAGTAGACATCTAAGAAACCTTTGTTCAGCTGCTGAATGAATCAGCCATCTCCTCTTTTTTCCCCCCTCACAACCATGCCTTTAAGTCTGAGGGAAACTATTCCCTGTTAGTAAATACCTAGCGTTCAAAATGTAAGGTATCTATAAACATGAGGCGGAATGCGGCGTTTTGACTTTCTACACACGTAGCTGCCTTCCTCACACAAATATTTTAATCCTCCATAGCTGTTCCTGCCTTACCTGCAAAGCCAGGAGTTGATTTAGGTTTCTATGCTTGGGTTTGTTTATTTAAAACCATTTCTGACAGCCTTTGCTTTGTTTTCCCTGAAATTTCATGTCCCTAGTATTTATATATCAAGCAACTTTCAAATGCCCTCTTGCAAGCTGTGACTGCCATTTCTTTGCACATCATGTAAAAGATGCCCTAGTTCGTTTTCTCTTTTCTGTCTTCATCAATGCCCCTCTTGTTTCCAATAAATTTTCCTTTCAATTTGAAGGGCTCTGCAGCTCACAGGTTGGCTGAGATACCCTCCTCCTGTTCCCTTGATCTTCCCGAC